GTATAGGCTGCTATTTTTTTTTAGTAAAATTTTGTGTAATTTTAGAAAAAATTTATTAATTCTGGCCTATTCTGACCCAAATTTGGGCCAATTTGCTAAATTTTTGTGGACTCTCTAATCTATAAAATAATTTTCTTCTAATTGATTGATCTTATTTAATTGAATTTATACAGTTTAAAATACTTTTCAAGATCTAAAAATTTTTACACTATAATATCATTAAATAATTATTAAAAATCATTTAGAATACTTGCAAAAAGCTTCATACAAAATAATTTTAAATAATCTCAACATTTAGATATACTTTATTTAAAGCCAATTTCAATATAAAAGAATAGCAATGTATAATAATTATATGTTTTAAAGTTTCTAGTCAATGTATAAAAACCGTAATTGACTGGGTCTGAAAAAGAGCTCAAGACAATGGTACTCTACTAGCTTATTTACAAGTTGTCAAGAAGTATGTCAATGTTGTTATAATAGCTTAATGCAGTCATTAGTTGCGATGAAGAAGTATATAAAAGCAACTTCTAATATTCAACAACTCAACGCTATTACTTTAGATCCAGAGGCTAATATGTTAGATCCAGAGGCTAATATATTAGATCCAAAGGCTAATATGTTAGATTCAGAGGTTATATTCTTTTCAATAACAATAAAAATCATGACTGATATTCTATATAAGTGCAAAGTAACAAAAAATTGCTAGCATTTCAAACATTTAAAAAATTTCGTGCTTATATAGAATCTGAAAATAAAAATTTATCAATTTTTTTTGAAGAACTTGTATTATCAGTAAAGCTATCACAGAAAAAAAAGAATCACATCCTAAAATATTATCTTAATTGCTTTTGTTTGTTATTTGCTTTGTAGTCTGTATAACAAATTTATTATTAATATAAAAAGTAATTTAGCACTTTATCTTGATTTTACAGATACAAGTAATTCAATGATAAATACTTTAGCAGAACTTGGTATTATATCAACAGCACAAATGGTTTGCTGTAAGAAAAATAAAATTTCTAATAATTATATCTAATCTATAAATAATCAATTAGAGAATTATCAAGAAAATACTATAGTTTTAAATGTTGACAATTATTATAATATACATATGAACCATGTCCCAAAAATAATAAAACATCAATAGCAATTAACATAGCAACAATTTTGTTAAATCCTATAAAAACAACATTACCAATTTTTATAAATTATAATAGCCAAAGTATTTATAATTCTAAGCTTATAAATGTGGATTCTCTAAAAGTTGATTTAGAATACTGATTTATGACATTATTGAGAGTAACTTTTAATAAACAATAGAATAATAAAGTAAGTAAAATAAAAAAGAAATGGGTATGGCAACTTAGTGAAGTGGTTGGGTTGTCACCCCCAAGTCATAGGAGGAAGATCGTCTGATTGGCTAATGTAAATCAATTGCCCGGGTAACTTATTTATACACTTTAAAGTACTT